CCGCCTGTAAAACCCGTAAATCTTTGACATTGACCGCGAGTCCCCCTTACTGCTGCTTGTACTTGTTTTTCCTGACGAACAGTGGATGGTCGATAGGGTATTGTTGCTGAATTCGTAATAGTCATTGCAGTTGAGGCACTAGTCGTGTCTTTGTAGATATCGTCTGTTTTATTTCCTTAACAAGGAATGCTGTATCCGTGTAGCAAATCGTTGAAAATTCTTCCATTTTGTTTTTGCATAGCTATAGTTTTAGTAGACTGAGAAATCGTACATGAGCCGTACTATTGCGACAACGCGATAGCTCCCGAATAGTGGTCTTGAACACGTAACTTCTCCGTTTTAATACAAAAAGCTGCCGCAAATTCGCAAATCCATCGCATGGGACTCTAGGTCCCGTTTCGCGCCCACCCTCTTGGTCCTTCTTTTTTTTCCTTTTTTTTTTTTTTTTTTTTTTTTTTTTTTTTTGTTTTTTGTTTTCTTTTTTCTTTTTAAGTATGTTTGTTAATTAATTTGTTCATTGAGGAAATTTGAAGGCCAATAAAGCTGTTGAAAAATAAAAATAAAAATAAAAATAATATATCACAAAAGGACGTCATGGTAGCTTGTTCTTTAGAAAAGTGGTTTTCGTGTGTTATGTTGGCATTTGTGTATTATATACTGGGGTCGTGGTGATAGTGTTGCACTCTAAGTATTTTGTGTTGTTCTAGCAATAGCGATTACTTATCTGAATTAATTTATAACGATAGCTAAACCAAACTGTGTTACAAACTGTGAAAACCAGAACCAAGACCGTGCCTTTATGGCCTGTGCACCACGTCTATGGAATGCTATTCATTCGATCAGTTATCAAGGAGGCTGAATCTGTAGGCATTTTTAAAGCAAGATTAAAAACTTATTTATTTGATTCCTTTTATAATATTTAATAGAGCTTTATGTTCACGATATTTAGTGCTATGTCAAGGGTAAAAACAGAAGCTCCTTGGCTTCCCCGACAAAACATTTCGAAGAAAGAAGATCCCTTAGGGGCAGGATTTGTCAGTATGAAATAAAATATTGAGATAAATATTAGTAGTGTCCTCATCAATATTGTCAAGTTGTTGGATGCCATATATCTCAGGGCTGTATTCTTTTGCTGGAGGATTTCCTCCTAAGGAATTAAATATAACACATGCCCTTTTCTTCCTATGTTCTGTTGCCGAGAGGCGTTGGTGGCGATGTATGGGGAGGGGGT